TTAACCTGCGACATGCAAATGACACAACCGTGCTTGCTGAAAAGGAGGACTTCAAGCATTTGCTGATGATTAAGGATGCAGCCTTCAGTAGGGATGACAGTTCGATGTAAAGAAATCCAAAACCCCCACAACTGGACTGATAGACAAAATCATGGTCAACAGAGAAGACTGAAGTTGTTCAGAATTTAAGCTTGCTCAGATCCACAATCAAAGTTCAGGGAAGCAGCAGCCAATAAATCAAACCATGTGTTACATTGGGCCAATCTGCCGCAAAAGATCTCTTTCAAGTGTTGAAGAGCAAGGATCTCATTTTGAAGACCAAGCCGTAGTACTTCAAGTGCCTCTTACGTGTGTGGAAGTTGGACAAGGAGTAAGAAAGCCCAGAGAAGGACGGGTGCTCTTTACGATGGCATTAGCAAAGACTATGGAAAGTACCGTGGACTGCCAGCACTACACACAAATCTGTCTCGGCAGAAACACAAGAATACAGAATGCTCCTTCGACGTGAGGGTAGTGAGACTTCATTGTAAGTGCTTCAGACACGGAGGCGAGACCAGTCCCTGGAAAAGGAGAATGCTTGGCAAATGGGCCGTCCTCGTAAGAGGAAGAGCGCGAAGGAGGTGAACTGTCGTGGTGTCTGCAACAATGGACTGAAGCGTAACCACGGTGAAGACTGGACAGGACCGGGCAGTGTTCCCATCCGTTGTGCGCAGGGTGATAGGATTTGGGAGGTACCTCACGACGACAGTAAAGTCCGAGTGTTCCGGACTGGCAGTCAGGAAAGGGTCTGGCTCAATAATGAAGGGGAGTGAGAGGGTTGCGGCAGGCCTACGTCAGGGGACCTGAGGAAGGAGAATAAGGACTCCTGGTGGGGCACGATGGGCTAGGCACCGGGCTGCTAACTGCAACGTGGGTCAAACCCACTGAGCTTTCCACAGGAGAACCTCTTTCTGCAAAGGTTCACCATCTTGGAAATTCCCCAGAGTTCCCCTGAACTGGAATTAACTCAGGGGCGGTGTGGTGTTGCGGAAGTTGCACCAGTGGCTCCATGTAGGAAAGGCCTGGACATCTGCTTCGGTTAAGATTACAGCCAAGAACACCCAGGGAGTACGTCCACTCTGCCCTGAGTTGGAATGTACTTGATGGCCATGGGTAAACACACTTCTCTCCTGCGCCCTCCAGTGGCAGCACTGAGAACATGGGAAGAGGAGCCCAAGATTGCAGCCACTGCTCACCTGGCTCCATCGCTGCCCCACCCCCTGTCCCACTGCGGACCTTTCCGTCCTTTCCTGTTCCTGCGGTCTGCTTGCCTCTGCCACCAGCCGACAAGAAGTTTCTCACAGTGGGCCTTGCTCCACTGCCTCCCTCTGGACGAAGCCACGGGGCTCGGCACGCTGAGCCTGTGTCCAACAGCATTCTCTACCTGTATACCTAGTTCCTATGGGTCGGAAAACTCAGGCAATGTTCATGATGAAGGGGGTTGTTAAGGACGTTGGCAGGCTATAATACGGGTGAGAAGTACCCAGGACGCAGTTGTTCAGTCAGGACATGTTACAAAATTCTTTCAGGGCTGCTCATAAATGCCCACAGGACATGCCAGTCCACCGTGAGCCTCAGCTCAAAGGCACTCCGCTCCACCTCTGTGGGCCAGTGATCCCAGTTCCCTAAAGGAAGCGCTCAGAGGTACCCTGCTCCACAAGCCAGCCTCTTGCCCCAAAGCACGTGGCTTTACTTGCGCTGTGGCCTGGGAAGCCCAGGCTCTGTATGGTGCCCTGGACCCTGGTTCGCTGCTGCTGCTCCTGTCTGGATCAAGGGGGTTCACAGTGCAGGGATCTCAGTGGCCAGAGGACACACTGGCTCTTGCTGGTAGTAAGCTCACCCCCTCCTGTTTCTCAGTAGGCTCATCATCTGCCCAGTAGGATGGCAAGCTAAGGAGGCCTGTTCATCATCACTCGCAGGTGAATCGTATCAGTGTCTCACCCACCTTCTTAGGAAAAGGTTGTTAGGTGGGAGGAACAAAGGCAGGCTAGCTATAGCAGTTCTCAACCTGTGGGTCTTGACCCTTTTGAGAGTCGAATGACCCTTTCACAGGGGTTGCCCGATTCCTAACAGTAGCAAAATGACAGTGATGAAGTAGCAACAAAAATAATGTTATGTTTGGGGGGGCCACCACAACATGAGGAACTATATGAAAGGGTCATGGCATTAGGAAGGTTCAGAACCACTGGGCTAGAAGAACCATATTAAATAATTGTCGGTCCCTACACCGGGTTTTGGTCTTGGACAGTCTGTTAACCAGCTCAGCCTGCTGCTTCCTCACTCAACTACCCTGGCATACCCAGGTTACCTCTTCGCCCCCGGAGAAGCGTTGGCCTTCTGGTGAAATGAGGCAGAATGGACAGCACCCAGACTAATGTGGCTCCTCTGTAACGCCCAGCAAATGACCTTTCCCTGCACAGACGTGGATAAGAAAGCAGAGGATTCCCCTATAAGTAACTGCGAGCAGGATGCATTCTAATGGCCATCCTGCTGTATATAAAGTGAGTCCTCTGAGAAGCAGGAGAAGGGACCTCAGGACCAGGGAGAGCCCGAGTGGAGCACATCCTTTGGATCCCGCATCTCGTTCTTGGACCAGATTCCACCAGCTGCCACCGCCTTGGGGATTAAGGAGGATCCTCTAGACAGACCTCTGAATGTTGACCTGGGGCTTGCTAGCACCCACATGATGTGATCCCCGTTCTTTATGTTGTACACTCTGAGTGGCCATTGGAGCACCCTGGGATGTCATGCGCAGACTAAGAGAAGGGGGTGGTCGACGTCAGAAGGGATGGAAAGCTCAGTGGTGTGGAAAGGTGCGACTTTGGGAACATGTTTAACCTCCACCTTCTTAGAACCAGTCTTGGGTTAATTTTCATGCAGTTAATGATTACCACAGCTGGGACCCCACTTCTACCACCTATTTGGTGTCAGCTGTTGGGTCTCCTGACAAGTTCCTGATCCTTCCTGAGCCCCACCAGTAGCCTGTGACGGGGCAGTCCCCCCTGCAAAGAATGAAAGGCAGGAGGGAAGGCTTTGTGGCAGCTCACTCCTCCTGCCTTATTCGGTGAAGCACCTCTGTCTCTGTCGGATGCAGGTCAGCGCAGCTCAGAGACTGGGAGGAGGGTGCTGAGCCCTCCACTCTGCTGTGCTGCCCCTGGGAGGCACTGCTGGTGCTCCAGGGCTAGTGAGTGGAGGGAAGGGGGCAGGGCTCCACGGGGCAGTGGGAGTCCAGGGGTGGGAGTGGCCCCAGCCAGGGAGAGGCAGCACTCTCGACAGTCCGGGATGTGCGGAGAGGGAGGGAGGGAGGCATCCAGATGGCTCACAGGCCTGCTCCAATTATGGCCTCACCCATCCCCCAAGACCGGGGACTTCTGCTTTCCTGCCCTTCACAGTCCCACGCCAGGATCTGCCTCTGCTTCCTGTCCAGGAGGTCTGCAGCCTCCAGTTTCTGGTTCTGAGAGAAAGGGCCTTGAAATCCCGCCAGCAGTGCAGGAAAAGAGGTCCTGAGGTGGGAGGCATCCGGAGCGGCAGGGGGTCTGGGGGGATTTCAACAGCCTAGGGCAGTTTAAATCTTACATGGGCAGCCTTATGACCCCTAGGCTGATCTTAAACGCCGAAGTCAGCAAACCCGAGACTCTTTTTGCGAACTCACCGCCTGCTTACTTCCCCATCCATGCCTGTGCAAGACCCTGCTGTGGACAGAGCATGACCAGGTTGGACCTGAGAAATAGGACCAGGTCTGGGATTGGTGGGTTCAGAACAGGAGATACAGACAGGCCAAGGACCCACCCCAGGACAGTCCCTACACAGTTCATTCAGCGGCAACTCGCTGGAGTCCTCACCTGCTGTGCAGGTGCTTTTCTTTCCAAATAAACTCTGCTTCCTGCTGGCTGTGGTCTGTGAGTCCAGGCTTCAGTTCACCAGACCAAGAGCCCCAGGACATGCAGTTTTAGCAGTTTCTCCCTCTCAGGTTCTACCAGAGACCTGGTCCCCACAGCCAATCTGCTGCTCACTCAGGAACTGGAAATGCTTTTCAGCCCTGACCCACACACCTCTCTCTCTCTTTCTCAGCCCAGGTGGCGAGGATACTAGAAGGACTAGGGCCTGGGTTCAGCTGCTGAGCCGGGTGCAGCACAGAGACCAGCAGAGCTCAGCGGAGGGAGCCCCAAACCTTCAGGAGAGGGTGTGGACAAGCTCAACACCCCAGGCACATGGGCACCAGGCCTCTGGCAGCAGCAAGATGAGTCTCCCGCTGGGAGCTTCTGGAGCCCTGAGGATTCTGGAAAGGTGGCCCAGTGCGCCCCCGGGAGGCTGGGCAGCAGCAAGAACCAGCAGGCGGGACGGCTGGGAAGAGAAAACATCTCTGGCAGCCCCACTCTTCCCTTTGGGCTTGGAACAGAGGGCACAGGGAGAGTCCCAGGAAGCCAAGGCGAGGAGAAGCGGCTCAGAAGGGCCCTGGCGCCCAAGCTGGGTGGATTCCCATGGAAGGGGGTGGAGGTGGCGTGCGTGTGCGTGTGTGTGTGTGTGTGTGTGTGTGTGTGTGTGTGTGTGTGTGTGTGTCTTGTTTCCCTTCTGGTTCCAGGCTTGCAGAGACAGCCCATGCTGCATACCAGTGGCCCTGGTGGTTGCCAGGGGAACGCTTACTATTTTTATGCATTCTCTGAGGAGGCTGCAGAAATGCTCAGCCAGGGTTGGTCCAGGGGCGATCCTGGAAGTGCCCCCACCCCATCTCTGCAGGGAGGTGGGGAGCAGCCCTTTAGGGCTGTATCCACATCTGTCCCAAGCAAGCGAGCAGTGGGAAGTGGCTGCCAGGGGAGGGCAGCCCTGAGTGTGGGAGTGCCAATCTGTCATTCATCCCTTCTCTCAGTGCTTGTTCATTCATCCATTCATTCATTTTCTCAAACACCCAAGGTTCTGGGCATTGGGCCAGGTGGTGGGAACAGAGATGCAAACCCAGCGTGTAAGGAGACGAATGAAGAAACAGGTAATTTCAGCTCCAGGATCGGTGCTCCCACAGGGGGACCTGTGCCCATCTTGGTGGCCGGGAGGAGGGAGGTGGAAAGCATATTTGATGAGGGAAGAACTGATCCAAGATGGGGATTTGAGGTCAATTCAGGCCCAGGGAACGGCCCGTGAGAGACTGACACCTTCTAGACCTGATGTCATGCACCTCAGGAGTGTGGAAAGGGATCAGCTACAGTGGGGTGGGCTGGGCAGTGGCAGGGTGAGAAGGGACCAGCTGTGACACAGTGGGCACACCCAAGCCTCCGGCAGCCAGGCTGCAGGCCAGTGTGGACTGGGGGCCTCCTGGAGCATCGAGCTCACCCCTCCCTGGGAGAGCTGGGTAAACACCCCCACTACTGGGCCAGGTGTGAGTGTCCAGATGGGACAGGAAGGAGCACTATCCCAGGCCACCCCCACATCCTCCACCCCCTGCACCGCTGCCAAGACTCATGCTCCCTGGGACCATGCACACACCTGAGAAGATGGGGCAGAGGGCGAGGGGATGATGAGGGGCTGGGTCTCCACCAGGGGTCGGAGTATGCTGGGCACACTACATACAGGTTGTCACCTCGTCCGGGGCTGACCCTATGAAATGAGTGCTTTTACTCTCATCCTAAAGGTTAAGGAACCGAAGATCCGAGTAGCTAAGTAGCATCTCTGGGTGCATGCAGGCAGTCATGAATTCAGGCCCAGCTTGGTCCGACTCTACAACCTGGGTTCTCTCCGCAGGACAGGTGTTTACGGAAAGCCTGCAGTGCATCCGGTGTCCAGCTAAGCCCTGTGGGTACGGAGACAAAATGTAGTCTCTTCTGTGAGATGGGAACCAGACGATGTGAGAGGGAATCAGGGTAACTGTTTTCTCAAATGGCCACAGTGACATTCCTGGCACAGGTGCCACAGGTGCATGGGTATCACTCGGGAGCCCTTGCCTAGAAGGAACTCCAGAGCCCGGGTCTTCCCCTGACCCTTGTTCTGCCGCCACACTGTGAGAAGGCACGTGGAGAGAAAGGGCGCAGCTCACCAACAGCCAGAGTCACCCATCAGAAAGGTGAGATGTCCTTCACGTGGCTCCAGCCCCCAGACCTCTGGGACAGACAACTCCACTGACAGACAGGGTCTGAGTACAGCAACTATGGGGCCACTTGTTACCTGGGAGGCATGAGTCATGTGGTGGGAGGATTCCTAGCTTCCAAGTGGGAGACCCCGGGTTGACTCCGGCCAATGCACCTGACACATAGCCAGCGCCCATCCGTGTTGCTCTGAGGCCGAGCAGGTTTCAGATAAACCAGGAAGAAAGACCTGACTTCCTACTTCCTAAACTCAGATACTGAAAACCTATAGGTCCCATCCGTCCTGATCCACAATCAATTAAGGGGATGGGGCCCGAACTGGACAACCTTTCGTTCCCCTGTGCCTGGGGTTGCCATGAGCCAAGAGCAACAGCAATCTGTCACCAGCCACCGCAATGGGGACCAGGACTTCCCCAGAGAAGCTGGGTACTCACATAGGGTGCTTGGAGTAACCTGAGTCTGGCAGAAAGGGAATATGTTGATATCTGAGGAAGTAACCCTGTATCTAAACCGGGCTTTCCCACATGAAGCCAAAGCCAAGCCCAGGCCAGGCGCTGGATGTGCAGGTCCACACAGGCGGAGAGTGGTCTCTGAGGCCAGAGTGGGAAGGTGGGGAAGAGGCTTCATCACCCCAAGAATGTGCTCTTGAGGGAATCACCGAAGATTCCCAGGGGGTCGTGGCGAACAAGCCGTGGGGTGGGGCTGGGTTTGTCCACTGGCTCCTGGTCATCAAGGATGGAGCAGGGCATGCCAACTCTCCTCACAAGCTGCTCAAGGCCCGGCACGGCTTGGGGAGCAGTCCCCTGGCAGCGGGGCCCCAGAGGAGAAAGCTGAATGGGGCACTGTGACGCTTTGTTTTCTGTGGTCCTGGTGCTGGGCTCCCTAGAGAACCCTGCCTACAGCGGGCACTGAGATCACAGAGGGCTTGGCTGACGAGATAACTGATCGATGGTGAGATGTGGAGATTGTGGCTGATGCTGTGGTTACCTGGGACCCTCTGGACAGCTGCTGCCTCCTGGACGGTGGTGGCGTGATCGTGAAGGCAGTGGGTCTGGGCACTTGCCCCCCAGGCAAACTGCACTCTGCAGAAGCAGCTCAGGAGGCTGGCAGTGCCCTGGCAGGCACCCTTGTCAGAGAAGGGCTGAGAAGGAAAGCTTTGGAAGAAAGTCATCCGTGTAGACAGACTGGCATCTCTGGCCCATGCAAACAGTACACACACTTGCTGGTCACTGAGCTGGAGGTTGGAGGTTGGAATCCACCTAGAGGTGCCTGGTGATCGACTTCTGAACCACGGACCACTGAAATCCCCGGGGACAGCAGAGTCTGCTCTGACCCGCAGGAGGGGCTATGGTGAGTGGACGCAACTTAATGGTGTCTGGTTGGTTTTAATGTCGAGGTTAAGGGGACCGTATCCAGAATCTGAGCTTTTCTCCTGAAAGCTAGGGATATGGTGATGAGGAAACCCTGACACCGGACCCTGGGAGGGTGAGATTTCTGAGTGTGGGGGCTTCAGTCCAGGATGCGGGAACTCGGGGACCAGGCTCCCCATGGACCCACCGGTAGGATCTGGGTTTCTGGGCAGGCCAATCAACCCCGTTACCAACAACTTCCTCCCCGGCCTCCGACATTCACAAGTCAGGGATCTATTTTAGAGACTGTTCGGTGTTTCCAGAAGAGAGGCGGTGCGTGCCACGCTCTGGCCCCGTTTCCTTCCTTCGGGCACTGCTTCCCCTCCGAGGCACCGGGAAGGCTACGGCAGGACAGTTTGGGAGGGGCTGCACCCCAACAGCAGCTGAGGCCCGGGGAGCACCTTCACAAGTGAAGTCCCACAGTGTCAACCACAGGCCAGTGCCAACCGCGCAGCTAATACTGGCTCATGGCCCCGAAAGTGGAAGGAAGGCAGAAAGAGGCAGATGACTCTGAACACTTATTTTTACTCTTATTATCTTAAGTACCCAGAGTTGCCGTAGGGAATCTGGAAAATACAGAAAAGAATTTAAAGTCCCTCATCCCTCCACAAGGAGCCTTGGCCGAGTAATGGTTACGTGCTGGGTTACTAACCACAAGGTCGGCAGTTCGAAACCACCAGCTGCTCTGAGGGAGACAGACATGGCTTTCTACTCTCACCAAGAGTTACCCTCTCAGAAGCCCACAGGAGCCATGCTACTATGAGTCAGCATCGACTTGATGGCGGCGAGGGATCACTGGACACTCGGTCACCACGCCAACAGCTGGGAGGCCTCCCTTCCAGCCAGGAGAGGGCTACTACTAGCAGGTGATAAAAGAAGCCTTCGGACCTGCACTCTGCCCACAGGGGAAGGAGCACCCCTGGTTTATTCAGAGGCAGGCTCCCAAGCTGTGGGGCGGCAGGTGTTGCATATTCACCTGAGCGTCCCCCGCTCCCGCTCATGGACCTCAGAACTCGTCCTTGATGTCGAAGTGGGGCTGGTCTTCGGGCTTGAAGTCCAGGTTGGGGCTGCCGTCCTCGTTGAGGATCCGGCGGGCAGTGTAGCCGATGATGGGGTATTTGGTCTTGTACACGGTGAACATGTCATCCAGGGACTCCAGCTCCTTGGCCGTGAGCCCTGCCTGCAGGAGAAACACGGAGGTGGTGGTGGTGGGGGGGTGTGAGGTGAGTGACCTGAGCTTGGCCCTGACCGCCTTTTATTCCCACCCTCCCCACCCCAACCCTGGAAAGCAATCTCTCAGCAGAGCAAGTCAGGGCTGGCTGACTCTAACAGAGAAGAGGGAGAGGTAATAGCTTCATCATGGATTACTGTTCAACTGAGGTGGGGCTCAGACCCTGAGAACATCAGGCTGGGGCGGCCACGCCCACCCTTCCTTCCTGGCTGACCCCACCCACTTCCTTGAGTGTGGTCCGCTCAGCCTAACAGTGCCTGCCGATCTGGATTGTATCTGATACAGGGTGTTCTTCCGACGTACAGGAACAGAGCGCGAGGCCTTGCTTCACCCACCTGATCTGTCCATGAGAGCGGGCAGTGGGGCTCAGAGGTTGTCAGCAAGCCTGCAAGAGGCGAGGGCAGGGCCTCCCCAGGGGCTCCTGTGGGCTGTGCTACAAGGGGGTCTAGGTTGGGACCAGACTGGGAAGGCCAGTGACTTTGGATGGTAAATTCACAAGCAATTGCGCCTGACTCTGTAGGCAGTGGGTTGCCACGGAAGCTCCTGGAATAGGAGTCGCGTGGTAAGAGTCTTATTTGGAGAAATGCTAGGCTGTCCCACAGAGTGGCCTGGAGCAGAAATCAGCTAGAGGGCCATGGCACAGAGGCTGGGACCTATGGACAGTGACGGGGAATCTGCTCACAGTGTCATGGGTGAGGTCAGCCGGATCCAGGGACATCTTGGCCACGCCTCTGGTGGAGTCTTTCCCGGTCAAAGCATTGTAGGGGGCTCCTCTCCCATAGAACTCTGTATGGGGAGGAAGAAAGGAGGCGAGTGGGTGTGGGGAGCCCCCCCAAACCCAACCAATCCTACTGAGACGCTAGGCCCCAGGAACAGTGTGGGCAGGAAGTGCACGATCCACCCCGCCCAGATCTTAGTTGGGATTCCACTAATTCAGACGTGCTCGGCCGAGAGTCAAGTTGTAGAAAAGACAGGACGGAAGGAGTCTCTGCAAAAGATGACGGGGCTGGATGATTCCCTGGAACTACTGCCTAGAGATCATCTTTCCACGTGAAAACCCAAACCACCCCCTGAAGTCTTCTTTATGACCAAGAGGTGTCTTCCCTTCACTAGTGCAGGATGGCTGCCCTGAGCTCTGGGCTTGTTTCAGATGTAGCTCCGGGGCCACAAACCGACAGCAGCACCATCAAAAAAGAAGAGCCAGCGTGAAGTGTCAGCAGCACTGGACGTACCAGAGGCCAAGGCCGTGAGACGGAACGGCAGGCCTTCGGGCCCACAGACCAGCAAGGCTGAATGTTTTCTGACAGCAGACCGGCTTGCAGAGTAGGAGCCGTGGGGGCATCTGTCAGTGCTATGGATGCAGGGTAACACTGGCCTGAGCAGGGCAGAGGCCAAGGACCAGAGAGTGATGGAGGACCAGAAAGAGCAAGGCTGAGAAGAGGCGCTGCTGTGTCCTCAGTGCTTCCCGATCCTGACTGGTGGTAGGTGTTACCCTCCCTGATAAGCCCGTATTCCTGAGTACTGTCTGTGCGTTCTGTGTGGCCAATGCAGTGGATCCTCAGACCCAGCAGAACAGCAGCGTGCCATGGGAGGAACTTGCGGTGTCAGTGGGGTTGGGGGGATGTCTGACCTCTGCCTCATAGGAATCAGCCTTGGGCAGAGGGGGAACTGGATTCCCCTTCCCCTTTCTGAAGCCCGAGGAACTCAGACATGGTCCCTAGGCCATTTCTTCTTTGGGGTATAGATTTTGTCATGTCGCTTAAGAATGTTGTGGGCTAATAATACATAATTCTGCGACAGTTTAAATTTGGTAGTAGAGAAATATTTCCCTTGGTGATGCTGTGGGCTAGGCGCTGGGCTGCTAACTTCCAGGTTGGTGGTTCAAACCCACCAGTCTCTCCAAGACTGGTTCTTTTTTTTTTTAACCATTCTATCAGGGGCTCATACAGCTCTTATCACAATCCATCCACCCATCCATTGTGTCAAGACATTTGTACATATGCTGCCATCATCATTTTCAAAACATTTTCTTTCTACTTGAGCCCTTGGTTATTTTCACCCTCCCCCTGCTTCCCTCATGAACCCTTGGTAATTTATAAATTTTTATTTTTATTATGTCTTACTCTGATCGCTGTCTCCCTTCTACTTTTCTGTTGTCCATCCCCCTGGGAGGGGGTTACCTGTAGATCACTGTGATCGGTTCCCCTGTTGTCTCCCTACCTGCCCCTTCCCCTCCTGGTATCACTACTCTCATTATTGATCCTGAGGGATATATCCATCCTGGATTCCCTGTGTTTCCAGCTCTTATCTGTACCCGTGTATGTGCTCTGGTCTAGCTGGATCTGTAAGGTAGAATTGGGGTCATGATAGTGGGGGGAAGGAAGCATTAAAGAACTAGAGGAAAGTTGTATGTTTCATCAATGCTCTACCGCACCCTGACTGGCTGGTCTCTAAAGGCTGGTTCTTTGTCGGGGGAGGTCAGATGCGCAGCCATTCCCTCCCCTGAGGGCAATCAGTTGCCAGATTGCTGTCTCATCCCACCACAGGGGTGGGCCTGCTCCCTGCCTCTGGGGACAATGGACAGGCTCCTGTAGGCGGAGTTTTCACCCTACTGACAATGGTTCCTATGGAGACCCAGAGACCACCCCCTAGACCACCCCCTCATTACTGTGTAACCTATAGTGTAACCCTTTCCTGTGACATATGTCTCTATCTGTAATTAGTGGGCTGGCATGCCCCCAAAAGGTATATAGGCGTGGGTCAGCAATATAGAGCTCTCTGACCTCTCTCTCTGGCTCCCCTCTCTTCCCCCTCTCCTCTCTAGTCCTCTCTCCCTTGTTCCCTTGCCCTCCTTCCCTTCCCCCTCTCTCCACGTGGACCACCAAGCTGGGCTGAGGTGAGCAATGCTACCATGAATGTGTCTGACTGCATTATTGTAACATCTCTCATGCTCTCGATGACTTTAATATAATACTTATATATCTCAACCGTACAATTGTGCTTACTGAACCCGTGGGTAGTAGCAGCAGGTAGGGCTGGCCCCCCACTCCCCCTCCACAATTTAATTTAATACTACAGTTCTTATAAAGAGTTCCAGTCTTGAAAACCCTACCCAGGGTTGCTATGAGCTAGGACTGACGAGATGGCAGTGGGTTGGTGGGATGAGCCTAGGACTGCGTGGCTCACCCTTTTCCTGCCTCAGGGAATTGTTGTCAGGTGCCCTCTCATGGCTCTCCATTCACAGTGACCACGGCCCGTGAGAGGAGCAGAACTGCCCCCCAGGGGTGGGGCTCCCCACAATCTTTCTGGGAGCAGACTGCCATACTGCTGGGCCAGTTCAAGTCACTAGCCTTTGTGTGAGTAGCTGTGTGCTGAACCATTTGTGCCAGCAGGCCTCCTACCTAAAGGGGTCCCAGGCCTTTTCTCACTGTTTCAATTAAGGGTAAAATGATCGAGTTTGAGTGTGATGCATGGGCAGTGGCAGCCACTGAAGGCTTGGGCCCGGGAGCATGGCATTGTTAGAAAAACACTGCTGGATGGAAAATGCTGATGAGAAACTGTCGACTCAGCTTCGTGGCTTCAGATGGAAGGGAAAGGGCCCGGCGCTCACTTCCTCTCCTCACCCCACCAGGCTTGAATCTGGCTCCTCAGCTTCCCAGAAACAATGAGGTAAAAGCCATGCCAAGCTACTTACCCTTTCCAGAAGTGACATCGAACACCACACCCTTCACTGCCATGTAGATGGGCTGATCTTCCTAGAAAACAGGGGGAGACGCTGAGAACAGGAAGCAGGGGTCCAGCTCTTCCTGTGTGGGCAAGGCCACCCTCTCTCCATCGTCAGCTGGGCGGAGAAGAGCTAGCGTGACGGACGAATACATAGAAATACTGTCGATCTTGACTCCTGGCAGCTCCACGGGTGAGAGCAGAAACCGCACCACAAGTTTTAGCAGACAGCCAGACCGTTCTTCCAAGGTGCCTTGGGGTAGGTTGGAACCACCTCTCGGGGTAGTAGCAAAGCATCTACCCATTGGCTACAGCCCAGGACTCCTACAGTTACAAATCAGCCTTCAGAAAAGCCAGGTCCTCCCTAGGCCCACCCTCGGTCTCCCTGGGCAGCAGCAAGCCCACTCACAGAACCTTGGAGAAGTAAGCAAGTATGATAGCAAGTGCACAGCAATCCACCCCCTCAAAAAGAAAAGACAGAGAGAAAAGTATAAGGTACATTAACGTAGTCCCAATTTCCTTTCACCTTCACCAGTGTGCCTCCGTGGACGTAAATCAGTGTTGATGACTTATGTTATAGTCTGCCTCTGATGGATAAGACCCTGTGATGTTAAGGCTCTGTGTCAATTTGGCTTGGTCAAGATTCTCCGTGGCTTGGCAATTAGGGCCTGGTCAAGCCCCATGATGTGACATAGCACGGGATAATCAACTCCATGATGGGGTCTGCTGTGAGCAGGTATGAAGGTAAGGGTGGGATGCAATTGAAGGGAAACTGCTTTCAGGTGTGGCCTACTCCTATAAGAGCAGACTCCAGAGGGCTTCTTCCCTTCTTGCTGGGCTGTATCTTGCATCTCGCTATCAGTGGCCTGCCAGATTGCCTGCTGACCCTAGAGCCATTCGACTCTGCAGACATAGCTGGGCTTGCTGCTCTGGGGTTGACCCCTCTCCCTGTACTGGCCTGTGGTCTTCGGACTACTTGGTTCCTTAGCCCTGCAGCTATGCAAGCCAGGAAAAGCCTCCAGCTTAACATCTGACCCATGAACATGAACCAGCCTGGACTTAACTACAGCGACAACTGTAGGAGCCACTTTTTTGATACAAAATTCACATATAGGTGTGTGTGTGTGTGTGTGTGTGTGTGTGTGTGTGTGTGTGTGTGTGTGCATATACGTATATATGTATATAGGCATTGTAAATAAGTAACTGCTTTTGCTTCTCTAGAGAAGCCAGCCTCATATACATCCCTAGAAACATTTTCATGTATTAAAAGGGACAATGTGGCTATCTTTTAAAACAGTTCTGAGGAAACTCATCTTATATTAGCAATACTGTGTACGTGTTTGTTTAATAAGTCTTCTATTCTGCCTATCTGGGTTGTTGCCAATCCTTAGAACACTAAATGGCAGCATTATCTTTCTAAAATCACTTTCTAAATGGGTGAGTTGTTTCCTTAAGTCCTGTCTCAGGATATGGAATTCCTTGGTCAGTATATGAATAACAACAACATCTAGCATCTTATCAGTGTGTCCTTAAAAAAGGTTAGCTACACCATTTACAATACTAGAGATATACAAGCAATACAGCTTGTCCACAGTTCTAACAATGGGTTTTTAATTTGGTCTATTTTTGCTATTCTGGAGAAGAAAATTGAAAGTACCAGGAACTGCTAAAAAACAAACTGATCTGTCTTGGAAGAAGGACAGCCAGTGTTTCTTAGAGCACAGCCAGCAAGATTCGGTCTTACAAACTTTGGACATATTTTCTGGGAGACCAGCCCCAGGAGGACATCATGCTTGGTAAAGTGGAGAGGCAGCGAAAAAGAGGAAGCCCCCAACCAGATGGACGGACACAGTGGCTGCAGCAATGGGCTCAGGCCTGGGAACAATTTTGAGGAGGGCTCAGGACGGTGCAGTGTTTTGCTCTGCTGTGCGGTGTCACTGAGGGCTGTAACTGACGCGATAGCACCTGACGACAACAATACCATCTTTGCTATTAAGGAAACAAAAGCTGTTGCTGTCAAGTCAATTCCAGTTCATGGAGACCCTCTGTGTTTCAGAGCAGAACTGACCCAGGGGGCTTTCGTGGCTGTCATCGTCGGAAGCAGACTGCCAAGCCCTTCTTCCTCTGCACGGCAGTAGTTCCAACTGCCGATCTTAGGGGACACCTATTTGTAATAGGCATAAGACAGTATCTTAGAATTCCTGCTCCTCTCCTCCAAAACTGTGTGTAATGTGTAAACTGGAGACAAATGGACACAAAACAGCACAGAGCTTTTCGTGTGACACCCAAAGATCATTCTGTTGGCTCTGTGGACAAGTGCTCCACCTAATCTGTGGGTGGTTATTTGACCCCGAAACATGTGGTTCTGTTTCCGGTGAAGGTTAGAATGGTACTTTATGTCCCAGTCATGCAAGCTGTGCCGTGACACGGATCGCGTTCTTCACCGGGTGTGAGCACTCTCATGACTTCTGTTCTGGTTGTGCCACTTCCATTAATCTAGTCTCCCCATGCCCTTAGATTCTCATCTTTATTTTAAAGTGATTGTTGCCTGCTGGGTCTTATAGAGGTGGCTTTTCATGGCCAGGGTGGAGCTGTGACCCTATAGGGCAGGTTAGAACTACTCCGTGAGTTTCCGAGACAGGATTGTAACTGTTTACAGAAGTGGAAAGCCCCGTCTCTCTCCCGTGGCGCTGCTGGTGGTTTCGAACTGCTGACCTTGAGGTTAACAGCCCAACTCATAACCACTCTGCCACCTGGCTCCTCCCTAGGTGGCATTTTAAAAAGGAGTGATAGTTATTATTATTTTTTTAGACCATCTGGGGTTAGTCCCAGTTCAAGGTTTGAAGACTATCTCAGGGCAATAGTCTTAGGGGCCTCCAGCTTCAACCAGTTCAGTAGGCGGTCTGGGGTTTTTGTCGTCGTTGTTAGGGTTGTTTTAAGAAACTTGAGGTTCTCATCCACATTTCCCCCATTCTATCCAGGGTCCGTCTATTGTGGCCCTCAATAGAACAGTCAGTAGGGACAGCTGGGCACTGTCCTCAACCTTCCTAAAGCCTCGACCCTTTCATACAGTTCCTCATGTATTGGTGACCCCAACCATAAAATTACTTTCGTTGCTGCTTCATCACTGTCATGTTGCTACTGTTATGAATTGGGTGACCCCTGTGGTACCCTCAGGTTGAGAACCATGATTTAGTTCATCTGATCTCAGAGTAGATGAGGCTGTGGTTCATATAGACTATTAGTCCTGTGGTAGTGACCAAGTGGTTACGCATTGGGCTGCTAACTGGAAGACCCCCAGTTCTAAACCACTAGCTGCTCCTCGGGAGAAAGACAGGGCTTTCTTCTCCCATAGACTTACTGTCTTGGAAACTCACATGGGCAGTTCTACCTAGAGGGTCGCCATGAGTTTGGTTTGGTTTTGATGAGTCCTGCAACCAAATTTCCTCTTTGAGTCTTTGGTTTGCATCTTTCCTTCTCTCCGGATGAGCAGATATAATAGGTGTATCTTAGATGACCACTCACAAGCTTCGACCACCACTACTCCCCAAATGAGGATGGAGACCATAACGCTGTGAGCGATATCATGGCACTGATCCAGATGTCCCAGGAGGCCTTAGCCCTAATCTCAAGGATTATTCACCAGCCAGCTGACCACACGCTTCCTTGTGCAGATTACTGCTTTTCCTCCAAGGGAACTATTGTTCCTCCACTTTGATTGCTATTAGTGAGTGGGGCTATACATGCAGATTAGTTTTGAAAATGTATTATTTTACCGATGGATTTTCATCACACTTCCCATCCCGTTGCATGCCCTCTCAAATGCATCACTTTTCTCCACACAGTCAAATAAGCACTCACCTACAGAAGACATAGACACACAGCTCATCTCCGATCACACCCTGTGTTTCTCCACAGTGAAATACTTCTCTCAATTTACTAGACACTGGAAGGGTAGGGTAAGCGTGAAGTGGAAGGCACAGCAAAGGGGCAGATTGGAATGGTTGGCTCCTGTTACACAGGGCTTTATCAGCCACACACCAAAAGTGAGTTCTTATCATGTGGAGATGGATAGCTATCAACAGGGAGCCAACAGGCAGGGACCAGCAAGCGGGGAAAGGCTAGCGAAGGGGAGTGGGAGCCTCGCAGGATTGCAGGCTCAGGAATGTGCCACTTGATAAAGTCAAGCTCAGCACCAGCTTCACGCAATCGAGCCTCCCCAAGGCCCACCCACAGGAAGGCCAGACGGTGAGCTTTTGAGGGATTTAGAGTTCAGTCTAAGAGTTCAGTCGCATGGGTGCATAAGCAAATATGGTGAAGAAAGCTGATGGTGCCCGGCTATCAAAAGATAAAGCGTCTGGGGTCTTAAAAGCTTGAAGATAAACAAATGGCCACCTAGTTGAGAAGTAACAAAGCCCACATGGAAGAAGCACACCAGCCTGTGTGATCATGAGGTGTCGAAGAGATCAGGTAACAGGCATCTAAGACCCCAAACAAAACCATACCCAATGTGAATGGGGGGAAGGGGGCATGGAGTGGAGACCCAGTGCCCATCTGTAGACAATTGGACATCCCCTCACAGAGGGGTTACAGGGGATGAGCCAGTCAGGGTGCAGTACAGCACCGATGAAACACACAACTTTCCTCTAGTTCTTTAATGCCTCCTCCCCCTATGATCATGACCTCAATTCTACCTTACAAATTGGATTAGACCAGAGCATGCCCACTGCTACAGATAAGAGCCCCAAACACAGGGAATCCAGGATAGATAAGCCCCTCAGGGCCAACAAGGAGAGTGGAGATACCAGGAGGATTAGGTGAGGGTGGGGGGAGAGAGGGGGAATCGACCACAAGGATCAATATATAACCCCCTCCCAGGGGGATGAATAACAGAAAAGTGGGTGAGGGGCAACAAAGGACGATGTAAGATATGGAAAAAATAATCTATAACTTAAAAGGGTTCATGAGGGAAGGAGGGCAGAGGAGGGAGGGGGAAGAAATGTGGAGCTGATATCAGGGGCTCAAGTGGGAAAAGAAGGCTTTGAAAATTATGATGGCGGCATATGTACAAATGTGCTTGACACACTAGATGAATGTATGAATTGTAATGAGAGATGTAAGAGCCCCCAATAAAAGTATTTAAAAAAAGAAAGAGTTAAGTCGCCAAGTACTCCTACTGGGGTTCCAGTTCACACACACATATTTATTATCAACAAAACTCTTTTAAACCTGCCTCTGCTCTCAGTGGATGGCTGCAGACAAGGTCTCTGCCTTGCTGGGGTGCTTCAAAATAGTAATAATAAGGTCTGATCAAAGCAAAGGCCTTTGAGAGGATGCTCTGAGCCACTTAACATCAAAGCAGAGAGGACAGCCCAGAAGGTTATGGGCATGTTTCCTGGGATTCTGAAGGGAAATTTGGATAGATTTTCTTGAAGGACACAGGAAGCTCATGGGAGGTTATTATAAAGTTTTAAGAAAATGGAAAACTGCATTGGTGAGGTATCACGACAATGCACCTGCTTCTTCTTCTTTTTTTTAATCATTTTATTGGGGGCTCGTACAACTCTTATCACAATCCATCCATCCATCCATCCATTGTGTGTCGAGCACATTTATACATTTGTTGCCATCATCGTTCTCAAAACATTTGCTTTCCACTTGAGCCCTTGGTATCTGCTTGCTTATTCTTCGAGGGCTGTGCTATGAGAATTTCAATAGAAAATTTTACCCCACCCACTCTCTAGCCCTGACCTTGCCCCATCAGGTTTCTTGTTCCCAACATTTAAAGAGCATTTATTTTTTTAAAATCATTTTATTAGGGGCTCATACAACTCTTATCCCAATCCATACACACATCAATTGTGTAAAGCGCATTTGTACATTCATTGCCCTCATCATTTTCAAAACATTTTCTCTCCACTTAAACCCCCCCGCATTAGGTCCTCATTTTCCCCCTCCCTCCCCGCTCCCCACTCCCTCATGAGCCCTTGATAGTTTATAAATTGTTATTTTGTCATATCTTGCCCTGTCCGACATTTAAAAGGACCACAATTGTAGTCCCTGGAGAAGGCCCAAACGCCACTCCGACGTGGTGGGAAGGGAAGCGCCTTCTCCGGGGAAGGTTGGAGGGCTGAAAGCAGCGCCTTGTGGATGTGTCCAGAAACGATCACTGCACATCTTGATAACAAACAGATGTGTGTCCACATCTTGTTTAATAAAGATTCCTAGTATGTGTGCCTCACACTATGAGATAGTTTATTGTGCCAGCTATATATATTATATATCTAATTATCTTTATAAATAAATATATTAAATTATCAGCAATTTGGTTTTATCTCTCTAGAGAACCCTAACACACACTCATAGATATAGTTTGCCTCATGCTCATAGATATAATGCTTTTAAAAAATCTATCATTTCCTCGGGAAAGAGGGAAGCTGATTAGGCCTAGACACTTCATCTGCAAAAATAACTCTGCCCTGCCCTACAAATGACCTCAGATCGTGTTCCAACTGCACTAGACATGGGTAACCTCCTCAAACCCAAGCCCAACCCACTGCTGCCCAGTAAGGAGAGCTGTTCCCTAGGATTCCCGAGTCAAAACCTTTATGGGAGGGAAGCAGACAGCCTCGTCTTTCTCGCTTAAAGGGGCTGGTGAGTTTGAATGGCTTGATCTTGTAGTTAGCAACCAGTGCTTAACCCACTGAGCCACCAGGGGCTATTTACTAGTGGGTAATAAATAGTTTACTGGTTTATAAAAATATTTTTTAAATGAAACAGAAAAAGTGGTATAAAATAGAAACCATCAGGTAGCGGATGCTATAAGATATGAAAATAATAATTTATAATTTATCAAGGGGCCACGAGGGTGGGAGGGTAAGGGAGAGAGGGTAAGTAGAAAAAAAATGTTCTGAAAGGATGATGGAAACATGTACAAATGTGATTGACATAATTGATGTATGGATTGTTATAAGAGCTGTAAGAGTCCCCAATAAAATGAGTTATAAAACGAAAATAGAAACCATCAGAATGCACCACAAACAGCAGTGCTTTCCATAATGGTGACACCCCCTGGGCCTTTATAATTTTAGTTTTGGCACTTAGGTTTCTGACTCATTTTGAGTCAGTGTTTGTGTGTGGTGTGAGGTATAGACCCTGACTTGTTTTCTGCAGATGGATATCTAGTTTTGCCAGCACCAGCACCACTGGTAAAAAAGATGTTTTTTCCCCCACTTAGTGAGCTTTGGCCCCTGGTGAAGATCAGCTGCACGTCGGTGGATGGATGACTTCTGGGTTCTCAATTCTATTCCACTGGTCGTCTAATACAGGCTGTTTCCAGTCTGTGCTTTGCTTGTTTGCTAAATAAATCTGGTTCTCTTCGCACTCGTGGATGGCGGTTCGAACCCACCAGCAGGTCTGGCAATGCTCCTGAAAAGATCACAGCCCAGACCCCTTGTGGAGCAGTGCGACTGGAGCACACGGAATAGGCAGGAATCAAACAACTTAATAGCAACAGGTTTCTGTTACTGCTGTCACTCCGGGGCCAGAAATTATGCTGAGGCAGGGACCTCCCTGCATTTGGTTTCCTGCAGTGCAATTAAGGCCAAAAATATCTTCTCTGAGGATGGCAAAAAACAGTCTTGCACTTGGAGAGGGGAGGATGGCATTCTCCCCGCAACAAAGCAGACACCCCTCTCTCACCCCAAAGCAAACCCCTCCCTGGCACGGGCCTTTCTCAAAAAGCCAATTCTTCCCCCAATCCTACAACAAACAAACAAATACACCAAACTCACTGTCCTCTGGTAGATCCTGACGCAGCGAGTCTGTAGGGCAGAGGAGGGCTGGCCCTATGGAGTTTTGAGGCTGTAACTCTACCAGCGCAGAAAGCCTCATCTTTCTCCTGCAGAATGGCTGAGGGGTCCAAACCGTTGCCCTCCACTCAGAAGTTTTCACCCCTGCAAAGCCACTGCCTGGCCACCGCTTGTCTCTGTCTGGAACATCCTGAAGGCGCTAAGAAGTCGTGCAGACTAAATACTAGAAGCCAAGAAGATGAGCTGCCCCCCCTCCCCCCCACCGGCTCCCCTACACAAGCAATGGACAAGTTCATGAAAGGTTTGTGATTGCTGCTGTTTCTGGGTTCTAAAAGCCACAGCTGAGGATAAGTCATGCAGGCAGTACTTTCTGCTCATGGTTTTGGGTTGTTTTACCACAGTCCGTGGAGTGGTACAAACTACAAACATGGCTGTCGCCAAAAGGCCGGAGGTTTGAGTCCACTCAGAGGTGCTGGGAGCAGGGTGGGGGGTGGAGCAAGCCTGGAGATCTACTTCCAGAAATTCAGCCACTGAAACCGTGTGGGGCAGCGCTACTCTGACCCGCCCAGCGTCCCCAGGGCTTATCATGGACCCCGCAGCAAGGTTTGGTTTGGGTAAACAACCCTTATTCTAACTGCTGGGAAGAATGGGATTCAGAGGGCCGCCACTCAGACCTTGTTCGGATTTTCTAGCAAGTACGCCAGAGGGTTAATTTATGCTAGCAAATCGCCTCGGTGGAAGCTGGTTGACTTTGTGCCAGAAGCACAGGAACAGGCCGCTCACACGCCCACGTGAGGCTGATTCAGGGAGCCGGGACGCTACAGCTCCTCTGAGGCCGAACATACCCGCAGGAGGAAGTGGATCGGGGCCTTTCGGGCGGGAGACCTGGAATCCAGTGCGGTTCTGTGGAAAGATCCAGGCGCCGGCCTGCCCTCTATGCACGGGCCATCTGCAGCCTCCGATGGAGACCCCACGCCGGCGCAGACCAACCAGCAGAAGGTGGGACTGCGTGCTGACGGTTGGGCCTGGCTATCCTCCAAGAGGGTCAGTCAGTGACCTGTCCGAGCCAGAACCCAATGGAACTGTCTGGTTCGTCTGGGTCCCCCGTTTCCACAGTCTGACGCAGCGCTTTTCTAGGACTCGTGCTGCGGCAAATCTTTGAGTCTGCCTTCTCTGACAAGGTTTCCCCTCCTACCGGCCTGTCTTTGGCAGGCCTTCCTGCGGTGAAAACAAGGCTGACTCCATGCTGCAGAATGCTGCAGAATGGCGTGTGCTACAGGCCTACAGGCCCCGAGCAGACATTGTGGGGTCAGCACTGTTTTGAAACGCAGCCTGTGTAGGAAGTTAGCAAGGCGCTAAGTATCGCACATATAAAGTGTGTTCTAGAACAGGTCTGGGGAGTCTGAGGCAGCAGCTGTAGTCAGATAAGATGATCTTTCTCTAGTAAAACATGGGCATGGGAATTCACACTGAGCAGGATAAAGACAGACTAAAATTAGACCTGCGTCAGCTCCACAAAGGTTCTGTCAAGGTCACACAAGGTTGGGTCCCACTGTCTAATGACTTACTACTCATTTCCACTGCTCACTGACTTGCGCCCAGTGATGGCGGACCTTTTGTTGGTGCTTGTTTGTATCTTTACTGATAAACGAATATGAAAATCAGGTGACCTCCGTTAGGACTTTCTGTGCTAAGCAGTCAGGAGCCCTGGTTACACACTGAGTTGCTACCCGATCCAACCAGATGAAAGGCCTCAAGAACGGAAGGTTTCCTTGAGGAAGAAGAGATGCTGTGGGTAGAGCAGTGGCTTCTACCCACCAGTTTGCAGCTTGTCCTTCTAAACAACCTAACCTACAGAGCTGATTTACCTAGCCAGCTCCCAGGAGCCTCGGTGGCCTAGTCGGTTCAGTGCTAGGCTGCTGACCATCAAGGCAGGGGTTCAAGGCTACCAGCCACTCTGTGGGGGAAAGACAGCCTCGGAAACCCCATGGAGTAGTCCCACCCTGCCCTATAGGGTGCTATGAATCAGAATCAGAGGGATGAGAGTGGGTGTCGATTTTTGGTGTAGCCCGCTCCCCCGACGACATTAAGGCAATTCCTTGTTGTCCGTGCTTATTTATCTCCCTGGTTCTTTTCCTCTAGGGGAATCCTGTCTACAAGCTTTTTACAGATGAAAAATAAAACTGAGCGTCCAAGAGGTTTTATTAGGTGCCCAAAGTCTCCCAGGCACAATGGGGACTCACACCCAGACGTGAGCCAATGGCATACATAATGCTCTAAGTTGCCCGCCTACATATCGAACAGGAAGGGTTATCTGCTTTACACAAATTGTGATCCTTGCAAGCGTGCCTGGGAGGACTTCCCAGGCACACAGGCATACGCAGGAGCCATCTAGGGCAGACATGCCACAGCACAACTGCCACCACGTCACTCAACTGGTTTCCTCCTCCATTAGTTTCTTCCTCTCTCTGGCTCCTTCCCGCTGCCTGCAGACTTCCTTAGGAGCCCAAGTGGCACAACTGGCAGCGAACCTACAGGTTGGTGGTTTGAATCTACTGACTCGGTCTGCAGGAAAGGTCGGGCAAACGGCTTCCATAAATAACGCCGAGCACGACGTTTTTGTAACATTTAATGTACATATTTATATTGATAACTATGAAAGTAAAGAATAAAAACAAAAAAATTTTTCCCTGAAATTAAAAATTCAAGTGTTATAGGGATAAAGATTATTATTGAGTCAATTCCAACTCAAGGTGATCCTGTGTGATGGCAAAGAACTGTCCCATGAGATTTTCCAGGCTATCAACTTTACAAGAGTAGGCTACTGGGTCTTTTCTCCCAGAATCACTGGGTGGGTTTGAACTACCAACGTTCCTTCCATAGAGCCAAAGAAATCCCACGCAGCACACGAATCAGAGGCTGGATCCACAGCAACTATCCACAGCACAGACGTGCTCAGGGCCCCATATGCCCAGCAACGGCTGCCTTCTCAAGCTCCCATCTCCCTGCTTCCCTCACTGACCAAACTCCTTATGGTGCCGGGAACAAGGGTCCAGATTGCCTGCCACTGTTTCAGCCGGAGCCAAAGACCAGGTTCATTCCGGAAACTCTAAGTTTATTCTGAAGCTTGAGACAGAAAGAAGCAATGGAGTTTGCTACTTCTACGCTGCTCCAAAATCCCAATGAAAAGTAAGCAAGTTATGTACCCTACAGTACATGACAAAAACTAGGTCTTGCATAGCTCCCCAAATACTGGTTAAGCTTTAAAGGATTTTTTACTGCAAGGCAGGGGACTTACATTTTGGATTTTTAACAAACTAAATCTTATATAATATTTCAAGTATTTTGATAAACAGCAGACTAACTCACCCCTCTATCACTTAAAAGAGAGGTCTGTACCCACTTTCTCAGCTTCTACAATCCTTGGTCACCCTCAAGAAAACTATTAAAAGTACAAAGCCTTATGCAAATTAAGTATCAATACTATCAACAGTAGAACACACACACACACACACACACACACAAGGACTTTTCTTAGTCTTCACGCTGCAGCTCCTGGGCTGGCTGCTGCACCCTCAAACTTGACCTTTCTCTTCCCTTGGATGGTGGAGGGACCCAACCCAAGCTGGGCAACTCACTAGAAGGAAGCAAGGATTCAGGGTATCTGTGTCCTCAGGGCGACAAGCTATGACAGAAACTGGTAAGGATGCATAACTGGATTGTATGGGGAAAAGAGGGAGCCCTGGTGGTATAGTGGTTATGCCCTGGGCTGCTAACAGCAAGGTCAGCAGTTCAAACCCACCAGCCACTCTCCAGGAGAGGGACAAGGCTTTCTACTTCGGTAGAGTTACAGTCTCATAAACCCACAGGGGCAGTTCTACCTGTGCTACAGCGTCACATGAACCGTCCAATGTCCGACAGTCACCATGAGTCGACATCAACTCATGGCAGTGTGAGTGAGTGATGGGAAAAGACATTGGCTGTGTCTGGAAGATCTACAGGCTTCTTGATGCTCTCTCCTCCCTCCCATGGGGTCGGCGTGGGCGTGGGGGTGGGGGTCACTCTTCCCCCAGCCTCTGTGTGATGTTTCCGCCCGGGGAAACCCATTCGAGACTCAGACTTTAGGGATTTTAGTTGAGGTCTGGTCACACAGCCCACCCTCCTCCTAGACACGAGGTTCCACAAAAACCAGAGTGTTTATACAAACAGCCTTGGAGAAGTGAGCCCCCCGTGGTCAGTTAGGGAAGGTGGGCATACTCCTGAGACACAGACACCAGCCAAGAGCCAGCCCGGCAAGCAGACTCAAGCCTGCCATGTTGACTCTTCTGCATCAATTGCCTGACCTTGCACCATCCCTCCCATCCCTCTACACAAGCTGTCCATTAGCATCCAGCCACACCTTGTCACATCTGCCTCCTGTGCTCACAGCCATACATGGTTCTACCCACCCTCTCTTGCAAGCTGATGCCCTAACTAGAATCAGAATCACCACCTGTGGGCCAGGTTTCTAAGTCTCCTTCGGAATGCGAATCCATCTAAGGCCTGTTTGCTTAGGGGCTGGTGGTCCAGGCTAGAGGGTTGTGAGAGAGTTCCTTGACTGGTATTGGACTCATTAGAACCCTGATTTATTCTCTTTGCCATCATCAAACCTTCTGACAGAATGAAGAGTGTTCTCTGAGGTTAAACTGCAGATACAGAAAGAAGGTCAATTCCGAACAGAGGGACTTGATAAAAGACCCTTATCAGAAATTCTCTCCACACTCAGGAAATGTTTTAGGCCTTGATCACCCAGTTAAACACCCCCACCCAGGCCCCACACAGGCACTCATTTAAACTAACCAATCCAAATAGTCCACATTCTTGTTTCAGAGCGATCACTGTACAGCAACCCCGCTCTGGGTGTCCCACCGCTGGCTTCCCTGGTCTTGCAACGTCCAATCAGGATGTTGTACCATTCCTCCGTGATTTTACCTCCTTCACGTGCCTCTGTTAATCCACCACATTGCAGGGCTTGGCTTCACTTTGTGAGAACTTTGTTAAGTCCTGATCTTTCAATAGAGCTTTTTACTTTTATGTCAATGAAGTACACATTCTTCATCAGGATTCCTTTCTTGGCTCTACTACTCAGGGGTGGCATGCCTCAGTTCCCTCCTTGTTCCTGAAGTGCTATGGGACTGTAGCCGTCCCAGCACGCCTGTCCCACCTACTTCCCAGACTGCACATCAGCCCTGCCACACACAGCACGGTGCTTCCACAGCCGCCAGACAGGCTGTACTAACCCAGGGAACACATGGTAGTGAGGGGTTTGCTGGGCACCTCTAGACTACTCTCCAGTATCAGATGGGGGGCGGGGACTTCATCTCTAACCTCACGGTTCCTGCCCCATCCTCACGGTGGTTTCTATGCCTCGGCCCATTGATGTAGCCACTGTGCTTTCTTTTCGCTGCCCCTCCACTTTACCAACCACGATGTCCTTCTCCAGAGACTGGTCTTTCCTGACAACATGTCCAATGTCTGTAAGGCGAAGTCTTCGAACCCTTGCCTCTAAGGGGCACTCTGGCCTTACTGCTTGCCATAAAGATCGGTCTGTCCTTTTAGCAGTCCATGGTACTTCCAATCTTCTTCTGCAGCACCACCATTCAAAAGCATCGAGTCTTCTCCTGCCCCAAGGGTAGGAGCACTAAAACTGGTTCCAGGAAATGGATCAGTGGCAAAGGAAGCAGAAAACCCGCAGGCAGGAAAAGCCTTCACCCTCCCAGGGTCTATCCAATCTCCCACCGGCAAACAGTTTAGGAGAACACCACGCCCAGCTCTGCTTCCTTCCCACCCCACTCAATGCATAGACGAAAGTGGTGTCCCAGGTGGTGCTGGAATTAAAAACAAAAATAGTTAGGAGATCCAGAAATGTTGGGGCGGGGCGGGGTGGGGAGGTGTTAAAAAACAACAACTGTACAACTCTGTGGAAATTGGCATGGTGTTTCTTCAAACTAGGTCTACAAATACACTCGATGACCTAGTAGTCTCTCTACTCTGCATGGGATCTTAGCCAAAAGGCCAAGAAGCAATCTCTCTACTCTGTATATGCACATCTGCTCTAAAGAAGTAAAGATCAAGGCCTGAGCGATATGTGCACATATTTATCACAGCACTATTCACAATAGCAAGAAGATGGAAACAACGTAGAGTCCCACCAGTGGAAGAATGGACCCAGAAGGGTTGGTACTTATACACAGTGGGATACTATGTGTCGCTAAAAAAGATGATGACATGGTGAACCACAGAAAAGGCATTTGATACAATTCAACATCCATTCTTGATAAAAATACATAATAAAATAGGAGTAGGAGGAAAACTCTTCAACTCAATAAAAGTTATATAGGTGAGATCCCTGGCTAGCAATTCACTTAATAGAGAAAAATTGAAAATATTCCACATCCCACTGCCACTTCAAACAAGAACTGGACAGGGGGTATCCTTCATCACCAATCTCATTTAATGTAGTTCTGGAAGTCTCAGCCAGAATCATAAGACATCAAAAAGATATTAAACAACAACAACAAAAAGATATTAAACATATCAAACATGCAAGAAGACACAACGCCCTCTTGATTTGCAAATGCTATAATTCTATATATGTATAAAACTCCAAAGATTTCATTAAAAAACAGCTGGAACTAATTGGAAAATGTGGCAGTGTAGCAGGCTATAAAATCAACATTCAATTAGTTTTTACAACATGGCCCTGCTCAATACTTGCCCTCAAGAAGAGAACACTGCTACAGCAAAGTGTAGTGAAGAAACTAGATGGTGCCCAGCTATAAAAATTAATAGTGTCTGGGTCTTAAAGGTTTGTTTTCAAACAAGCAGCCATCTAAGTGAGATGTCAACTAAACCCACATGGAATCGAGGAAGCACACTAACCTGTAAGATCCAAGGATTGTAAAGAATATATGTAATCCAAATCCAAAGTAAGGAATGGTTTGCAGAAGGCTATGGATGACAGTGGGAGGCCAAAACACATTTGCAGGATTTACACATAGAAAAAGCCTCTGGTGACTTCCCTCTGACCACACTGGAGGGATGGGAATCGCCTAGTTATCAGAGAGTACTGTGCAGATGATTATAGACTAAAATGAAACATCTGATTTAAATGGCTAAAATATAACTTTTGATTTTATCCCTTTTCAACACATCTAAAAG